GCAAAGGTACAGTATACAGTTTGCCCTCAACTCTCTTTCATTATGTTTACTGAAGGAAAACATATTGTTTTTGCTCAGTTTCCTCTTCTCAAAACACATCGGGTCAATGACCTGGGCCAGACGTCTATCACCATGGTAACTAGTGTTGGGTTACATCATGGAGGTAAAAGATCAGATCTGATCTTTTACCTCCATGGTTTGAGAAAGAATTAGACCATATGTGAAGGTAAACATTATGCATTTGCTTTACAAATGTTACATTTTGTACCTTTCTAGTTTATATTAGACTACAAATGGGATGAAAATTCTACTGTCATGAAATTTGATCTGCCCTATGGATGGACTTTTGCAGGTGTTTCCAGGTAACTTTGACAAGAACACACCTGTGGAGAACCTTCTGCCTGAACCCCTGGAGGCCAGGTGGATCCGCATCAACCCTCGCACTTGGAACAACCACATCTCCATGAGGTTTGAACTACTGGAGTGTGGAGGTACTTCAATTCAATCTGTTTGCACCAATTTTCAATTCACCCCAAGGGATTGAAGTACATGTATTGCTACTGGTTCTGCAGTGCAGCTTCTGTATATTCTACTTGAGTGTGCACGTCTGCCAACTCTATCTGATTGCCTGTTTAGGATGAGAGCGTCATTCACCAAAAAAAAAGCATTTCCTATCCTGATCTTAGTAAGGAATAGCCTTCAAAATGTAATTTCAGCAGCTGAGTCTCTTTCCTCCTCTCCACAAATAGAGGACTGTCTGAGAACAAAAGAAACTTGGCAGTTTAAACCGGATACCACACTACATGTGTGTAGGTATGGAATCTACTGATTAAGTACTGGACCAGGATAATTAAGTGGCAGTGAAATTGAGGATACAGAATTATCATTCATGGTACATTTAAACCTGTGTGGCCAACTAGTCATGATCATAAGCCACATTAAAACAGTCTCATTTAAATTCTACAATACTGTAGCAACCACCCTCAGTCACCAGCCATTTTAAGACCAAGTTGGACCATACTACTTTTTAGAACCCAGATCCACCCGTTGGTGTCTGAGCTGCTTTGATACAATGTCATGTATCCTTCTGGCCAAATCTGTCTTGCCCCATATCATTGATATTGGCATAAACCCAACATAACTATTACACACTGTACACTGGTGTTGTTGAACTACATTTGGCTCGTAACTGTCAGGATATAGGAACCACTTCTTCCAGGGCAGTACTAGTGACACTGTTGGCAACAGTTGTTGGAGCCTGTCCTAACACAACCTGACCTTCTGTTTCAGCAATGTCAGCACAGAATCACTCCTGGTTCAAAGAGTCGATGATGTGTAAATGTAATGTAACATAATCCAGACATGTGTTAGCCATAGGTGAGGTGCAATGTAACTGCTATTAAAGGCATCCACTGCAGTTTTTACGGCTTGGAAACCCGATCTTTCAAAGTCAACATTCTAGTAACATATCTACATACTGAGTTGAAACCCGTGCACTATCCCAATGTATGTTGACCCTCAAAAGTACCCAAAATTCTGACGGAAAATGGTTACTGGAAGGGCCCTTGGCTGATTTTTAGGGTACCTCCCATAAAATAAAGGACTCATCTTGGGGCTTGTTTCTCCAGTTTTAAGTACCCAAAGTATGAAATAATGATTGAAATGTGCTAATGTGAAGCAGTATGTGTCAACATCATAAAGATTTCTTTAGTGTATTTCAGTACTGGTATCATATGCGTGCCATCCTGATATCTCACTGCTCATTGAGTTCCAAATTTCCTTTCATATGTCATTGAATGGAATTATCTTCTCAGAAAGTCTTGACTCGGAAGTCAGAACTGAATGTTGTTCTTCTGGCAGGTTACTGTGTGCGGCTTGAACCTGTTGGTATGGAGGCACAGATCCTCCGCACTAACCAGTACAAGGCTTCGTCCATCTACAATGCCAGGAAGCGCCCGGGGCTTGCCTTCTACGGCTTCCTGAACAACCCTGATGGTGCCTGGTCACCTCACACCATTCACAATGGGCACTACATAGAGGTTAACCATTTGATTTGTGTTTAAAAAACAGTTGTTCAACTCCCCAACTCAGAACAGATTTTTTTTTCACCTACATGTAACTTTCAATGTTGCAATAAAAATGATGACTGGAGCTAGATGTCATTTGCTAAAAACAGGTACCATTCTACTCATTGCATGAAAATTGCTGCAGCATCACCAAGAATAGAATTGGTACGGCCTATGGGGCTAAGCTTTTCTTGACTTGTTATGTTTACCGAAGGAAAATATATTGTTTTTGCTCTGTTTCCTCCTCTTCTCCAAACCAAAAAGGTCAATGACCTGAACCAGACTGTCTGTTACCATGGTAACTATAGTGTTGGGTTACATCATGTTGCAATTTCACAGCAGGAGGGATTTAGACTCCTGTCTGATCAGATATATGTGTTTGAGTAAGAATTAAGAGAGCAGACCATATGCAAAGGTAAACATTATGGATTTGCTATGCAAATATTACCTTTCTAGTTTGTTTGTTTGTTTGTTAGCTTGTCTATGATGGCTTTTGCTTGCAGATTGACCTGGGGGAGGACAAGTTGATCGGGGGTATCGTGACCCAGGGTCGTCCTGGGAAGGGTTTCCTGACCGAGGAGTGGGTCACCTCCTACAACATACAGTACAGGAACGACTCCTGCCTGGCTGTGGACTATCTCAGAGACAGCAAGGGTTTTCCTCAGGTACAGGAAAGGGGAGCCACAAGTTGACAGGCTTGAGTGCAGTCTAGAGCAATCAAAATGTCTGTACCTCACCAGATTAAGAATTACTGACAGGAAGACTTACGAAAATCACATGTATGTGACAAAATCACAAAACATTACAAAATCAATGGAAAAAGGTCAGACAAACTTACAGGGAGATCACTGTCAGTAGATAAATGTGTCCAAAAATTGCATTTTTTCAGGTATTTGTATCCTTCATAATCATACTTGCTTTTACCAAAAACTGTAACTCTTAGCTTACAAATTATCTTCTGGGGCAGCATAAAACGTTGAGCCAAAGATGACTTGTTACAAGGGTAGATGACACAGCAAAACAGAAAGATGATGCTATTGTTTTTTTTGTCACCTTCTCAGATATTTGGAGGCAACTTTGACAAGGTGACTGCCGTGAGGCACATCTTCGCCCAGCCCTTCCGTGCTCGCTACGTGCGCGTGCGTCCCCGCAGCTGGCACAACTACATCAGCCTGCGTATGGAGCTGTTGGAGTGTGCAGGTGGGCTGATCAGGCCCTAAGTACGGCTGGCAAGGAACCATCCCAGCTTCACTCACATCACCTCATCTTTAATTAACATCAGGGCTTGAAATCCTTGTTTCTGCATACCTGCACTGGTGCAGCTAACATTGAAAATTACCTGCACAACTCAGAATTTATTAGTAGGAAGTGTGGATCACACTACAAACTGTTCAGAAACCATTGCCACTATTCATTCAAAATGTGGGTAGTACGGTCAGCGAAACGTTGGCTGAATAAAAAGACTTGGTTGTGTAAAAAGAGTCTCTTTACTTTACTCCGTGTCTTACCAACCTGATGAAACTTTTCACAGGTACCAGTCAATTATACACAATTAAAAAATCCACGAACACCAACATTGTAAAAAATAAAACCCCATACATGGACCAGTCGAGGTTAGGTGCAGGTAAGACATACATTTGTACCTGCACAGCTCCAATTTTACCTGCACTAACCTACAAAATGCAGGTGGTATTTCAAGCCCTGAAAACATTGACCTTTTCACTGACGTAACTACATTGGGCTAACATGTCATTATATTTGCCAAGCTTTGCTGACAATGTTCTTTTCATAATGCTACTACATGGTACTGTACTACATGCAGAGGAGTCACAGTGAGTACACTAAGCCCTATATACATTGAAACAGATGCTGTAAGTTAACAGACATAACAAACTTTAATGCCCTAACCTGGACATATACTGAAGGATAAACATACCTTTGACTGACAGACTTAATTACAAGTTGTGAGACAGGGAGATTTGATTCACCTATTTTCAGAAATTATAACAACTCCATGATGTTGTGTTTCAGATGTATAATCTGCTGGAGTTTGACAGGCAGAGATGGATAAATAAAAAAGATTCTCTCTGTGAACTTTCATGTTATAAATGTAGCTCAGCTACACTTTCTGTTATTGCAGTATTAGGAAACAAACTATACGTTATAACGCTTATAGTACAAAGACTACTTTCATCATTCCAATACATACTGCTTTAGTACAAAATGTATTCTACATGTAAAAGTCAAAAGACTAAGGTTTGCATGTAGTTAGAAGTTTTTTTCTTTTTTAGGTACAATCATAATATTATAGATTTATATGTTTTTTTATATTTGTGATTGATACAGTAGATACATGACTGCAGAACACTGATTCTGAATCAGTTTTTGTAGATTTTCCCTTCAGTGACAAGCACAATACAGTACAGATACATAGTACATGTTTGTATTGTCTTTTGTATCTCTTGGCATATAATGTCATGTAAGCAGCGCCCCCTAGGAGAGGGGATGGTAGATGCATCACTAGAAAGAATTAGGTCATGATGTAAGATCTTGACTTGTGTGTTCAAATCTGTATTATTACCATGTATCATGTTTGCTTGAGTTTGGATTGACAATAAACATTAACTGTTATGTTAATGAATGTACACTGCCTGAAAGTTTTTGCTATTATTAGCTACACGTATTGTGACAGTCAAAGGGTAATGAAAGCTGCCATTTCCCACCTTAGATACTCTCTTAAGATGCTTTAAAATTCATTCAGAAGACATGGTTTTTTAACCTACTGTCACCGTCACACAAGCTTCTATTTCTTTCAAGTTTGTTGTTAGCCACTAGCCATGCCAGGAGGTCCATGAAAAAGATAGGATCACACAGTACAACTTACAGGGTACACGTTACATGGAAACGTCAATGAGATAAAGCAATGTCACTAACCTCTCAGGCATCTGGGCTGCAATCACACAGCTGAAGGAACGGAAGAACTCAGGGTTGGCTTCCAGCAGGTGCTCTGGGTTCTTGGGTACAAGAATTAAAGATTAAAGTTGTCAAGTGTTTATTTATTGTTAAACTCTGAAAAAATATTGTCACTGATTGACGTGTACATGTTTTTCAAAATTTGTGAGGTTGACTCACTCGGATTACAGCTAGCTTTTCCTACTTCAAAGGCATAAACTTCCGGTCATACTGTCATTGACAAGCAGTTATCTACATGTAAAGTGAAAGAGAAAGTGATCTCGAACCAGTTTAGCTCATTGAAGAGCTAATCTTCCACTGGTCGTGACAGAGAAGACAGACGCTATGTACAGTATTTACAGGTTCATTGTACTGGGGAAATTCCCCTAGCTCTTTTCGACAAGCACAATGAACAGTGGACCATGGCGAAACGTCCCATCCAAAGGACTGCGACCCTAAACAGTAGCGTGCATGTCGGGTGTGCGACATCAGCCGTGATTCGAACTTCCAACCTCTTAGTCCAGAGGCAGGATCGCTAACCATGCACTGGACTACGCATGCAAAGAACAGAAGATGTACAACCTTATCTGAGCAGTGTATTACTCATTCAGGACTCAAAATGACACATGAACAGCAACCTGCAATTTGCAGAATTTGACAGACAAAAGCAATTAGAGTCACTCTCACCTCGTCGATAAAGTCCCCACGCACATCTGAGTTCAGCTCCAACAGACACTCAGTAGCCACTTCAGCACGAGACTACATTATTAAACAAGAACAAAGGCTTCTAGCAATATTTACCACAATTGTAGGGTGATTATTCCTCTATTTTCCCATTTCTTAGAGTTAGAGGCTTCCGTATACGTAGCACAGTCAGATATTTCAGGTACATGCGCTAAAGACTAGGTAAGTTGCAAGTGAGAAGTTCTAAAAATCTTGACAACAACGCTACCTTGCAGAATACTCCTAAACTGCAACTTACATTTGTACTAATGATACCATGAAGTCATATACTAGTAGTTTCTTTCTCACCTTTCCAATGCTGTCTCTCTCCAGGAAGAAGCTGCCAAGTTGATGAAAAAAATAAAAGATTTTGCCAAATTGGTAAAGTTTATAGAATGTTTCAATTGGATTCACATGTTAGGATGGATAGAGTATACTTAGCACTGAGTCTGATAGGTACACATATGAATAGCTTCATCAGGTTGGTGACTCATTAGACAATTTCTCAACATATCTCTGAGGCCATTCTACAGTCATTTCATTACAAATACAATGAAAATTGAAATTAATTTTTTTTTTCATTTTGTAGACATATCTGAAACTTGACCTACTTGTTTCCTACATCCTCCCCGGTCACTTTGCCACCATCAATGATGGTAAACCAGCCAACCCCTGCAAGACACATGTACACAAAGATTAGCCAGATCCTCTCTCATTATAGCATTATTAGCCATTCTTAATTTTGATACCAGCAGTGACTACTATGGCAAATAGTACTAGTAGTACGATGTAAGCATTTCTTACTCATCAAAGATGTTAATGAATTAAGACTTTATACATGGTTGAAATGAAATGAAACAAGACACATGGTATTTATAACCAGGTAAAGCAATACTGGGTGAAAAACTACTAGTATGCTCCAAGTATATTTCTGGAAAGTTGCAACCATTGATGTACAAAGTCGTATGTACCTGGTAAGATGAGGTTCTTGAGTGTCTCAGTGCCTGTAGCTGTTACGTTCACAAGACACACCCGGGATGCCTCAAGTGCTGCCTGCCCATGGTCTCCCCATAGCCTACATACGTACATACATCAGAAAAGAAAAGAGCAGCTGCAGTACCTATGAGAGTCACTAGGGGACCAAAAATATAATTTGTTTGATACTAGTGATACATTCATACTGTCATAGTATACGATAGCAGTATATCCAAAGCTGCTTAAAGCTGCCCTTGGCGTGCAACTATTAGTAATATGAAGTCCCTGTCAAAATTATTATGACAAATCTGATTTCTAGGTCATATTTCAGTACTTAGTAGTATACGTATTGATATGCAACATCGCGCACATATTATCGAACTCACGAAAGTTCATACACAGTTGAAGAAGGACAAACAACAAAGTGACACCATGTTGACATCTACTATGGAAATCAAAGGAAAAGGTGATTACAGAAAAATATTTACTTGCACTAACGTTTTGCAACTCAGCAACAACCTAGAGAGCTGGGTGTTTGCAACAACATTTCAAAACGTTTCTTCAAGACATAGTTACACGTTAAATCATAAGAAAGTACATGGTGGCTGCAAACGCTTACCTTAATTGACGGTCGTATTTCTTTTCCTTGTCCATGGTTTTTGCACTACCGGTGGCTGCCATCTTGAGTGACGTCATCACCTTTCCAATCATGCTGGATTATACCACTCGCGGAAAGGGCCGCCGACATCAGTAGTTTTCATTTATTCCATGATCTTTTTATTGACCGAAAGGTGAGGTAGAAACTATCACAAATTATTTCAAATCATAACACCTAGGGTCATCTTACGTCTCTATTATGTACACACATTTACTTAGATATGTATACCTTCGAATGGTCATTTTAAGATGACCTTAATGAATGGACTATTCCATTGACTTTTCTGGCGGGAAGCATGGACTTGCAGACTTCCGGGTGAATTCCATGCTGATTTTGATGACCTCATTTTTCTCGCGCTCCCTTAAATTTAAGGCAAATCTGTGCGTTTTCTATCACTGGTGAACATTTGGGCAGCCAAGCTGTAGTTGGAGCTTGATGCACAGCTTTCTCTTCAACCTCAAGGCCATCGTTTTGTAAGGCCCCCCTCCCCTCCCGGAGTTAACAGTTACATGATATAAATTTATCAACAAGTGAATAATGACTGCAAGAACGGCATCGGTAAGTGTCAAGCTTTACGTTTTAGCAAGATAATCTGCTTGCGTATGGTGTTTAATAGTTGTAGTGTTTAATTTAGATTTGTATAGCTTACTAAGTACATGATCAATTGCATGTATATGCTCTGATATATCTTATTAAAAATCATTGAACAAGCTTAATTTCTTGTACCAAGGAGGTACTATTTGAATCCCTGTACGGGAATGTTGATCAACTATGTTCATCTCCACTGTCTTTTCGGGTTTAGAGGCTAGCATCTTCTTTCCACCATCAGGACTTCTACGTGTAGCTAGAACCTTGCAGTTGCTGTAAACCAATGATTAGCCATGAGTATTTGATATTGATATTGATCTTGATACTGTTAAAACCCAGGCTATTGTTTACATTAGCACATTATAGAAAAAGAGACCCAAAAAGAGATAAAATAAAAACTGGAACTGAAGCTCCTACCTGGTGAAGGCATCTACTCTACTCTACTCTAATCTTTATCAACTATCCAATTTGATTGTATCTCCCCAGAGGAAGATCCGATCGTTTTTCACCATAGTAGGTGGTGGAACGGCGGTGTTTGTCGCCCATGCCCTGTTCACTGGGAATGAGAAGTTCTACCGAGAGGTGGCCATGCCGTGCATGCGACTGGTGAGTGCAGAGACTGCCCATGTCCTGGCTGTGAAGGCTGCGTCGTGGGGGCTGGGACCGAAGGCATGGCAGCACAGAGACTCTCCTATACTGGTAAGGGTGTAAGAATGAAACTTCACTTGTGATATTGATGTAAGTTTAAACTTTCAGGTCAACTCATTGTTGTGGGACTTTCTAGAGGTTTGTCCATACCTTCATCGAGAAGTCTGACTCAAGTACATGTCCTGCCTTTTATACATGTTAGTGTATGTACTATTTATATGTAAAAATTTACAGTATGCAGAGGAATTCCTCTAGCTCTTTTCAATAAGTATAATGAACAGTGGACCACAGATACAAATTCACCCTCCATACAAGCCAGTACGGGGACACGTGTGCCGCCAACTTGCACGCACTTACAACATGCTAGTGAGTACAGAAACCATAGGTAAGCTGCACGTGTACGTATGGCCTGCATAAGATAACACGGCAATCGCGCAGAGATCGTACTTTGTAAGCACATGCAACAAACAATGCACGCAACCGCTCGTGGCCTTGCGAGTGATGTGCGTTGACGTACCTTCTCTCAGCTCTTGCCAGTCCTCCCCATGTTTTCCAAAAAACATGGCAGATGTAGCCTAAAAAAAAACGTACAGACAAAAAAAGTACAGTGGGTTGTGACCCTTGCTTAAGTGACTGTACTAGAGAGTGCAAGGTTTATACCATGGCTGATGTAGCTCACATGTCATACATACTACTGGTAAGGTCTGCAGTCTTTTCGTCTATGCACAGTACTCATTGCATGTTGAAGATTGACATAAGCTGCTTTGTCCCTCCCACAGAGAAGCCAACTGTGGGACCGTCAGTTCAGGAACCCCATTGGACTGGCTGCAGGGTTTGACAAACATGGAGAGGCAGTGGACGGTCTCCTGTCCATGGGGTTCGGCTTCGTGGAGGTGGGCAGCATCACCCCTGAACCTCAGGACGGAAACCCTAAACCTCGCGTCTTCAGACTTCTGGAGGACAGTGCTATCATCAATAGGTAAACAGAAATGATAGAAATATTACATACATCTTTATCATGATTTTGTTGTATCAGTAGGGACATTGACATTTTATCTATTTTATGTTTGGCATATATTTAAGTTTTGAATATACATGTATGTAACTTGATCTTTTTAGATATGGATTCAACAGTGATGGCCATGACACTGTGTTTAAAAGACTACAAAGGAGAGCTGAGTCTATGTCATCCACATCAGAAGGTACGTACACAAACTCACTACTTCAATACTACAGTACATATATTAAAAATAACTTAAGGTGACCCCTTTGGTAGCTGTGTCATTGTTACAGACAGTAAAGTTTTGCCCTATCCAATTTATGAACATACTCTTTTCTTTCCATCAAAAGAAGTGCTTGTCTTTGCACTGACAATCTTATGTGAAGACGTTACACCATGTTTTTCATCTCTTGCTCGAAAAGTAGATTAGTGAATGCTATAATGGTAAAGTTGTGACTACATGTCTGTTCTGTTTTTGTCCAGGTGAACTCAGGGGAATTCTGGGCATCAACCTTGGTAAGAACAAGACGTCCCCAGACGCTGTGGGAGACTATGTGGAGGGTGTGCAGAAGTTTGGAGCCCTGGCAGACTATCTAGTCATCAATGTGTCCAGCCCTAACACTCCAGGACTCAGGGCACTGCAAGGCAGACAGGAGCTGGAGAAACTTATTGACAAGGTAACATCTTTGTATACCTTACAGTGGTAGAAACACAGTGTTCTGCAATATTACAGAGTGTCAAAATTCTGTTCTACAATTCAGAAATACTTCCTGCAAATTCAAACAAAATTGCATTTTCGCCAATGTTTTACATGCAATTTGAAAAGTACTGTACATGCAAAATTTCTAGCATGTTACCTATAGGGTCTAGATTTCTAAATCCAAAAGCTTTTGATATTATGCCAACATCATTTTGAATCCTTAGCCTGATTTTTTTCAGTCTGCAACATTGCAGGTTGCTTAATTTTTCTTCTGCAACACTGAAAATTTCTCTGCAAAATGCAGACTACAGATGGGTATTTCTAACCTTATGTATGGTACATACTTCACCCTCTCAGATATTCCCTAAGCTTCTTAGGTGTTTGCAGTTTGTGTAAAGAGTTAAAATGAAGTCATACATAATGATCAGGCCTATGCCGAAAGATAAACCATTTGGAAAGGAAGGAAGAATTGGTAAAATCCCTGAGGGAAGGTAATGGAATTTTTATCTATGTACCTGTACATTTGTACATATCAAAACCTACTTCAAAAGCATGTACATGTACCTATCACAAGTGTTTAACTTAAGTAACAAACAAAAAACATCTGCATGTGTATCTTAATGAAATATGTTTGGTTTCACACTCAGGTACTAGAGGCCCGTAGTTTGCTGAGCTGCCCCAGAAAACCTCCCTTGTTAGTGAAGATTGCTCCTGACTTGACCCAGCAGGACAAAGAGGATATTGCTGCTGTGGCTACGAGACAAAAAGTGAGTGGTATGCCAGATGCCACCAAATAAGAAATAGTTCCCTCTGCTGCCTTTCTGAAAGTGTTGTCCATTGAGTATCTGTATCTGTATCTGTATAGCTGGTATAACCGCCCTTCGGCGTAACACACCAGCTTTGCAGGCAAACGGCGCGGCAGCAGCTGGCTACATTACACCGATCGACTTGTCACACCTAACCCTTAAACTCTAGACATTGTTTAAAGCTATATAAATGACAATGCCCCTCTGTGATAGTTCTAGGAAAGAATGAATTCTTGAACACCTCAATCCTTAGTTGATAACTCTGGTACTTGAAGGCATGGCTATTTCTTGTTCTCTTCTGGACTGGTATTAGGTAGTTAGTAGTTGGGACATCCACCAGTTTATTAGTCATTTTGTACATCATGCATAATCTGGACATTTTTCTACAGTCTTCCAGTGTAGTTCCCAGTGTTGTACCAAATGTGAACTGAACAGTGTTGTGTACATGTACACCACAGGGTGCTGTGGATGGGTTGATTGTGACCAACACAACCATCAGCAGACCAGAGACTTTACAGAGTACCAACAAGAAGGAGACTGGGGGACTGAGTGGCCCTCCTATCAGACACATGTCTACAGAGACAGTCAGGGACATGTACACCTTAACCAATGGTAAGCACTCATGACCGAGTACATGTACCTGCGAGTGCTGTGTACCTAAACCCACATTTAGGTTCAGGTCTGGATTTAAGTCCAGAGGTTTAGGTTCAGTTTGGGACTTGTAATTCGGACCTAAACCCATGGCATATACAAAATTGCATGTTTGTAACCTGGCAATGTTGTTTGGGCAAAACTTTGGCCACATAACATGGAGTCCGACACTTGACTATGCCCGATGGCAATATTTTCTTCATTTTTGCAGCACAGATTTTTCAATCTATGGAAGGTTTTAGGTGGTTTGGAAAGAAAAGGGGTATGTGACATAGGTTTTTTTGTAATAAGACCAGAATCGGTTCTTGCGCTTGTGGCACCAAGTTTTGGGATTGGGTTAGACAGTAGGTTTTAAATGAATTATTATCAATACTGAAATAAGTTTTTGTCTTATGGAAGATATCTTAGCACATACAAAAAAAATTTAATGTGTCATAAATCTTTACCCTTCATGATCAATGAATATGGCCTTTAATCTTATTATAGCTCCATTTCTAAATGACCAATGTCACAAATTTTAAAGTAATGTACAGGACTCACTGACTCGCTGGATTTTTCTCCACCGTATCTGCTTGTCCAGGCCAGTTACCCATCATAGGTGTGGGAGGTGTGAGCTGTGGTGCAGATGCGTATGAGAAGATTCGAGCCGGTGCATCACTGGTGCAGCTGTACACAGCCCTGGCCTACCAGGGGCCTCCAGTCGTGAGCAGGATCAAGAGAGAACTGGAGAAACTGCTTAGGTGGGCATTACCTTATTATGTTTACCAAAGGGAAACATATTGTTTTTGGTGTTTCTTCTTCTCTGTTTCGTCTTCTCCTCGATACAAATAAGGTCAATGACCTGAACCAGACGTCCATCACCATGGTAACTAGTGTGGGTTACATTATGTTGCAATTTTGTAGCAGGAGGGATTTAGACTCCTGTCACCATATACATGTATATGAATGTACAGAGCAGACAATATGCAAAGGTTAACATTATGCATTTGCTTTGCAAATGTTACCTTTCTAATTATTTATATTTCCTCAGTCTAATAGAAAAAATGTCAAAGATCACTTTTCTCTCTCAGAGTTCCACTTCACAGCTTTTTCAATTATTTACTTGAAGGCCTGAAGGTCTCCTTTCTGGTTAAGTTCAGAAATGTACCATTTGTATCTTGGTTCAAATTTTGGTTGATTCACTGTCAACTGCATGTCCTGCCATTACAGGGAGGATGGTTTCACATCAGTGACTGAAGCAGTGGGAGCTGACCACAGGGCATCAACTCAATCATGACACCAAGACAAATCCTTCTATATAGCTTTACCAATAGGGTGAACATTACGGTTATGGGTTTAGACAGCAAAAAGCTGTTACTATGTAATAGCTTCCATTCTGTAACAGGCCCACCCTTATACACCTTCTATCATCAAAGTTTGCCATGTTACATATGAATCCTCCAATACTAAATGGAAGTGTGCAACTAACCCATATTGTGGTGACTGGTGAAATATCTGCTTTTGGCCTAAGCATAATGTCTCATTTACGAAACAAAATATATACAATTCATGTAAGAATTTGGACATTCAGGATCTAGAAGGAACAGTGTAGAAAGTACATATCAATCATGTATTAAATAGTTTTTCAAGGTGTACGTGGTCTTTTTCTTTTCGTTCGAGATATTAGGCTGTAGATTGCATATATGAGTGATTCTCTAATTGCTGCCAAATTGCATGAGATTGACTGGGCTAAAGTTACATAAATAAATGACTGATGAACCACAAGAAAATGTGATACATTATTAAAAGGCTTTTAATGCACTGAGAAATGTACATAACACGTCAAGTGTAAGGTCACCATCTTGTTGGCAACCAAGCTGTACACAAAAAGTCTCAAGGCTACCCTACCCATCCTCCAAAAAATGACTTAACAAAAATGATTCACAAATGAACACACATCAAACGATCCAACAAGACTACCTTGCACAACCGAATTTCCTTTCCTTACACTCGAGATCATGTGCAATTCTTCTCCACATCCAGTATTTGATAGATGTTACCTGGCCCTTTCTAGTTATACAGTATGTTCATATTAAGACAATTCCCATTTAACTGACTTGGTAAGTGAAGGACTAAGAGTGTTGCATTGGTGTTTGAACATACCCCCCTGAAAAAATCTACAGTCTGTATCCCCATACAATAATCCTGATTTGCACCCAATGTACATGCCATTAAAAACTTAGTAAAGGAGAAAGTGGCATGCAAAGAACTGCCTATATACTGTGGGGCAAATGATTTACTTCATTTTAACATCTGGAATGACTCGGTCATCAGTAGATTGAAGGTGCCTGATGCACACTTCTGCCTTAATCCTGTCTACTACTCGTCCTTGTTGTCCTCCTCTCCGCTGCGTTCGCGAGACTTAGACCGCGACTTGGACCGTGACTTGGACTTGGACTGCTTGACCTGGGTGTCCTTGGCAGGGGAGCGGCTGGCGGACTTGTCCCTGCTCTTGCTGCGGGAGTGCGAGCGGCTGCGGGACCGGGAGCGGGACCTGCTGCGGGACCGGCTGCGGCTGCGCGGCGAGCGGCTGCGGGACCGGGAGCGCGAGCGACTGCGGCTTCGGCTCCTGGACCGAGAACGAGAGCGAGAATAAGACCTGGAACACAGCCACACAAGGAGGTGAGAAACATCAACATTGGGAACAATTCTCTTTACCTATGCTGGCAACTGGAGAAAAGTCATGCGCCCGTCCACTGGACATCGTCCCCACCAGTTGGCAGCCCATGCTTCCCAAGGAACAAAGTGTTGCTTCTACGTACCCATGCTCCCACCAACTAGACCAGCATACCCCATTGTCTGTGTCCATATTCTAACTACGACATACGTACGTACACAGCTTACTTGAACCCGAGATAGGACAGCACAGCAGATCAGCAGTGGCGCAAAATAAAGTCACGTTACATTTGAGTATCTTTTTAGTTATGTTTCAAATGCACCATGCTTTCTGTGCTACTAGTTACAATACTTCACACGTTATCTATCAATATGGATGACAAAAATTAAAATTCACAACTTTTTGGACCATGTATCCACGAGTTAATATTACACATACAAGGGATTCGCTTTTCTTGCAGAACAACAGACAACCATATTGGATAAAATTGTTTTGAGGTTTTGAGACACTGACCTGCGCCTTCTTGATGGCCTGTCCTCCACCAGTTTGATCTTACGACCATTGATTTCAGTCCCGTCAAGCTTTCTCAGGGCATTCTCCATGTCACGGTAGGTGGCAAATTCCACAATCCTGTTTAAAGGAAAAGGGAAACATTCAGTATCACAGATGCAAAAGCGCTAATCATTCAACATAAAGATCCATGGGAACTCCCAAGACACAATGGAACAAATGAAACTGCAGGATGTCCCTACAATTGTACATGATGTACCAACATGACGTTTGCAAGCGAACTCATAAATCCTGAGCATGCAAGACAAATATCAGAAAGCAAAATATCAGACACTAAAATCATACGCACCCCTCATTTTTGTTCTGCTTGTGCGCATCAGCATAGGTGACCTCTCCAGCTTGCCGCATGTAGTCCTTCAAGTCCTGAATTGAGACCATGAAGTAAAGACATGAGAAAAGGCAGGAAGCTAACTGGGCTGTGTATTGACATCTGCAAAAGGAAACATCACCGCTCCTGAATGTAGTCCTTCAGATCCTGCATAAAGATGTGTTAAGACCCTAGCATGTCCTAAGACTACCACTCCTAAAGCCTATATTAACATCAGTTCCACCCCCCCTATAAGCATATCCTTCAAAATTCTAAATCTACATACTCTACTACTACAAATATAAAAATGGGACACAAATACTTTTTCTTCATTTCAGTGGGGCAGTAGTTTTGGTTATCTTTTTTATCCGAAATCTTTTGCCTTATCATTCGTAATATAAACATATACGCTGACCGAGAGATTCAGGGTACATTGTGGCAGAAGACTGCAGCGAGGGAGAGAAACAAACATTACGCACAACACATTGGGGAAAGTGTACTGCCAAACTGCAAGGCTTCCCACAGGAAAACGTACAAAGGAAACAGAGTTATCAAGAATAGCATCATACAAAATAGCGTATAGAGGGCTACTTCCATAGCATTACATTCCTTTCTACCAGTCACCCCTCTAAAAACATCCATGCAACTATATCTATTCCATGATGCACGCCAACTTGAAAGGTTTTGCTTCGTTAGGATGTTACCTACAGTTACATGGCTCTAAGTTTTTTTTTCCACACCCATCTTTTAGAGGCGTACCCTGTCAAAACTGGACTTACACAACACCATTTTTCTTTCGATCTAAAATGGTGCCCAGAGGGTCAAGTTTACCTTTCACGTGATTTGCCGGCACTACCACCTAAGGATTGGCATAACGGACCCTGACTCAGCGAGAGGAGAGACCAGGCGGGTTCTACGGACCACCAGACCAGAGACCAGACCCAGATCAGTCATCCTCAGGACGGCCCGGAGGTGGCATGGCAGGTCCACTGTCATCCTCACTCAGCCTCACCATATTGCCATCGTTGGATCCCCAGCGTGGGCTTTTGGAGGAACCAGGAGGGGGCTTGTCTAACCAATCAGACCCACCATAGTTCCTGGGTGAAAGATTTGTCTTTCCGAATGTTTAAACAAACAGTGTGCCCACAAATTTCAGAAACATTCAGCAATCTTTGTTTCACTTTTTTTTTAATTCAGTAAACAAGATGCCAATGCTTTTGTGGCATTTTTGGTGGTGCAATGTGTTTTGGCCAAAGACATAAAATAGGTGATGTAAAGTGGAAGGTTTTTTTTTGTCCCTTCAGAAAAGAGGAAAAAATTGGACATAACTTTGCATAGCGCAAGAATTTTTTTATCATGCAAAAGCAAGAAGTGGCACTTTTACTGCATTTTAGACATCACATTTTTAAAGCAAGAGTTTTTAGAAAAACGAAAAAAAAAAGTTGCATCAAACAAAAAAAGCTCCACAACAGTGAAAGTTGCAGAATGATTTAGGGTGAGAAGTTCTGACACAGACAAGGCTGCCACTGGGACAGCATTGTCATGACAGACACAAGGTAGCTGCTGGCGATCGATCGGTTGGCCTCTCAGACACAGAGACTGGATCGTTGGCCCCACACGTAGGCTGCCATGGATCGGAACCTAGACCTCTTCTCCTTAGTACATGGCAAACGGTCACCCTGCACCGGCCTAACCCTCAGTCCTACCGGCCCTCAGTCCACATTTAGCCATTACCAGACACAGTGTGGCAGGGCTGGGGGGTCCCAGCCCTCACCCTGACACCAGACCCCTGGCCTCAGTGGGAGAGGAGAGGAGATACGGTCCAACCATCGCTCTCTTTGGGGAGGGAGGGAATACATCAGAGTTAGGACAGGACCTTGAGTTTGGAAAGTGGGCAGCTTTTCTCAAAAATAAAACCGAAAACAAAAACAACCACCTGGTTTTAGAATAAAACAATCCACCTTTCAATTTCATATCCCTCAAATTCTCTTCACAATCTGCAAGTTAACACAGGCACAATCTACAGTCTGTGCTGTTTTAAGCTCCACACACCGCTAAGCCCTCACAAAAAAGTTCACACAATCTAAAAAATGTTGACCTCAAAATATCTTTTGGAAATTTGGGAGAAGAAACTGCCCACTTTTAACATCCAATCAGATACACTACCTTTCCCACCAAGCCCACAACACACAGCAAAATTTTTGCCATTTTGTAGCTCTGTACAACAATGTTATCTTTGCGAGTTTGTCAAACATGACAAGGCAAGAAGACAACATTGGTACAATTCCACAAAAGCAAAACATCTTTCAGTGCAGGATGTTAGGGACTTGGCAGAAATCTCAGTGGATAAGAACACATGTTTGTACCAGCAGACACACCCCGGTTGTACACTCACCTGCCAGCTACAGCGACTGGACAAGTTCTCCACAATCAGACGGTAGTCTGTGCGGACAGGCGGCCCGTATCTGTAAAACAGAAACAGTTGCAACTCCCTTACACCCTTCCAAGTCTCTAGTACATAAACATATTCAAGTCCATGAAGTCCACATTAATATAATCAAGAATTTTTGTATTTGAGTGATTCTTGTTATAGACGTTTTTTTTGGAAATGTCTATGTTGGGAGTGAGTCTGTGTATGTGAAATTAATGTAGGTGGAAATGTGCAGGGTCTTTTGATCATTCTGTGCATTTTTAATTGATCTATAAGCATAGGTCTTTACTTCTTCGAAACAAACTAAAATTAGAAAATCTTTCCTCAAATAATTTTGCTATGGTGGTTAGTAAATAATGAGCCCTATCTGATGGATACATTTTTTTTTCAATCTTATAAATTGTGTGCCATGAAGACTCGAGCTTCAGGATACACGAAAGGCTCCAAGAGGCTGCCACCAGTCATGGGGATGAGAAGCGACACTTCTTGACTTCCCAACGTTCACACCAGTACATTCTCCCTTCCCTAACTTAGGTGTACTTTTTTTTTACTGTCGTTTGCTGCCAAACGGAGATAGAGAACCAGTTCTCACTTCTCTAGGTGCTATGAAACCTACGTAACAACTCCCAAGACCCACTATGGTTACCCACTGTCTTGATTCTGACGACCACATTATAAACTTGTCTCAGCCAGTCCACCCACAAATTGAAGTTGTTTTTCAGACAAAACTGGTGGCTGCCCACAAGGGCCAATATGCACCTTCCATTAACTGTTTCTCATTCCTTGTTGACATCAAGTCTCCTGGTGGCCAGAGAAAAACACTGCATGATCTAGGCTAGGGGGATGCTAGCTAGTTGGGCCTTATAGTGTGTTAGCACGCAAAGGCTGCCATGCTGGATGGTGAAAAATGTAAAACTGATCTGTATGTGTAGCAATTACAATCAACATGGTGATGACATCCAAATCTGACTAATTCAACCAACCAGCATGTCAGCTGTGAGGTCATGTGCAAACACCTTTACACTTGAGGGCTTTCTCCACTAAACATTCCGAACTCTCAAACATAAAGGAGTCGTCAGAATGTCTTATTTTATTTGCTTGCTTGCTTGCTTGTTGCTCATTCCTCAATGACATTCATCTAACTAGATTTTAGATATGCAATTTGCGACCTCTCTTGCACATGGTAGACAAAATGTTTCTCCCATGAATAGTAACATTCTCTTTTCAAACACAAAATCGTTCACTATATGACCAAGTGGACCTTTGGACTTCTAGCACGCATACAAAGTTAACAGTTACAATCTGAACGTCATGGGCATCATCAAATACACATTCTTATGATATCTTGGTTGTCAAATTTTGTTCTTTTTGGCTTGAAAGTAATACAATAAGTCTAGAAGAAGAAAAACAATAGTGTCAAATATAAGAGGTTTTTTTGCTCAAAGATGACAAAACCAAGTGCATTTTTTGTGCAAAAAATAGGCTTTCAATAAAAAAAGAATGATGGTTTGGGGATGTGCCAAATCATAGAGTACATGTTGAAGGAAGGAGGCCATCATGTTTGTAGTTTAGTGTTTTTCTCTGACCTGTTCCTGCTATCCGACCCCCGGCCACCTCCACTGCCACGGCCGCTTCAAGGAATGAAAAACAATCATTAATGGAGGTCCAAGCATCATATGCGAGTCACTCACAGGTCAAACTGTTCACAGGCAGTTTGTCAATGCGGTAGTCTGTTCCTGGAAAACCTCCATCACACATGTTCCTTCCAAAACAACACAGCACAAGACAATTGGTAACTTGGTATGTGTTTGAGCAACTTTCTCATCTTTAACAATTTTGGCAGGCGAGACAATGTTTTGCTGTGTGGTATAATGTATTTGAGAAGGAATGAGGTTTTCCCCCTAAGAAAAACAGGGTACAGAACAGACTGCCGGGTGTCCCTGCTGCTTGGTGCATTTAGTCCAAAGTGGCTGAATGCTGTCGACAATGGATTGGCACTGGTTTGGCAATGGTATGACCATGGCTCTGGGTGGAATTCCCCAATTGGTGGGCCAGGGACCATGGCATGGGTCGGGAGAGGCACTGTTAAAAACAAATATATCACATCAGATGAGTGGCTTGCATTGGAGTGTGAGCCTGGCTCTAGGTTCAGTAGATAACTGTAGTGGTGGCCATACCTATCACGCCCCGGCGGAGGATACATGAATCTGCCACCAGAGCCTCGAGGAATCCCACGAGCATGCTCTACAGACACCCTGGAGGAATGAGACACGCACAGTTCAGAGATACAGGGAAAAGGTACACGGAGTAAAGACGGTGGTTACGTACTTGTCTAGCCAGCCAGGCCGATAGCCATAGCCTCCCCCCACCGAAAACCCGCCCTCCCACCCCCTGGCGGGACCACGGGCATTCTCAACAATAACCCTGCAAAATGGAGGTGGACACCTTAGGCATGGATTGGACCCTGAGTGGGAGTGGCAAAATCCTGGATAAAACTGACAATAAGACATACATAAAAAGTATTAAACAGTTCCAAGGATTTCTTTCAAACAGGCACATTTAACACTTAGTCTTTGTCCTTTCAGCTCAACATTACTGATGCTTTTAATGTGAATCTACAAACTAGCAATGTGTCCACCTATCTTGCAGATGAAGATGAGTAAACAATACAAAAGTAGCCACAACTGGACATTAACATGTTTCACTGCTTTGGGTTTTCTTACTACATTTATTTCACTGTTTTGAGTTGAACTACCAGTGATAAAATGTGGAGTATCATTATCAACATGTAAAAATACAGTGATAGTATTTGTAAGTTTGCTCAGTATGTGACATGTTCTTTATCCTATGTTACCTCTCCCCACACAGCTCCTTGCCATTCAGTTCATACACAGCATCATCCGCATCCCGTGGGTCATCAAACTCCTGTAACACAAAGTTTTTTTCTTCAAGACAACTGAAATGATTATTGGGTCTTGTTATATAGATACCCAATATAAATTCATACTTGTACATGGTGAATCAGACAAGGTACAGACAAGGAGTCCAAGATACAGAGCAACAGCTTGTGTCCATTCTGTTGTCACAATTGTTCTCTGATCGTAAGACAAAACACCACAACAGGTAATTTCCATACCTATGCATATGTATTCTATATGTAAATACCACAGTGCAAAGACAACTCTCTCACACCAAGAACAATGAAGTAGGCCAGCTAATTATCTGGGCAAAACTTATACTGGACTCCACAGCTTACCACAAAGCCAAAACCATTCTTCAGGTTGATTTCTCTGATCCTCCCATAGCCTCTGAAGAATCTCTCGACATCTTTTTCTCTGGCGTGGTAGGGCAATCGTCCAATGTACACACGACTACCCATGTTTCTGCAAGGGAATAGAAAATTGTGTCAACAAAAACCGAATAGTACAGAACAATTTTTACGCATGTCCATAAAACTTGGTTTGAAAATTTTTCTTGTACTAAATTAATCGTGTACTCTTCTTATGCATAGCTAAATATTTATACTTATAGCCTATCTTTGCAACTGGTAGTTTCATTCCTTCAATCTTTTCTTGACACCACATCATGCTACAGATCACTGGTATTGATAAGTCCACATGATCAGGCTTCAATACCTTTACACGATGTTTTGTTGCAACAGGATACAAGAAAATAGTCAACAGTCAGACAAAACCCAAACGATATATCTGGATAAAAATAATTCATGTACAACTTACAAGATCTATCTGGCGTTATCGACGATGCATCTACTACTACTACTACTACTTGCTTATACGCCATTTGCTGATACAACGCGAGTTGGAAATTTTCCAGCACGATATCATTTCGCAAAGTCAGGTGTTTGGCTTGATGGAGCGTAGCTGGAACAGCGGTGGGGCGTAGCCAAAGCCTGCAGGGGCTTGCACAGCAGCCAAGCAGCAAACTTCAATTCTTACCCTAACTACAGCGCCTATTTGTTATCATTATCACTTTTAACTATAAATCTCTTTATAGGTGTTGAAAATTCTTGGTTCCCGGGGTTGAAATAACGAAAACACGGTGCGTATTGGCAAGAGACGCGAACATCGACCTTTGTCCCTAACAATCAGTCGCACAAAATTATGTCGATTAAAAATGACGTTAAAAGCTGTACGTTACACAGCTATCCCTAAATAACTACATCAAAAGTGTCTCAGATATATATACTTAATTTATAGCGGAGCAAAGTGTTAAAAGAGTCACATGTAACGCTATGATGCAGTAGATTGTAACTCACCTTTCCTGCGAATTTCTGTCCCTAAAATGGCGTCTTCTTCCTCGCTTGCTTGCTTTGTATGACGTAGTTCCCAAGATTCAGTGCGCTCGTTCCGGGTTGGCGGGGTCAAGTTGTCACGTGACCAACATGGCGACGAGAATGTGAAGATTTTGCACTTTGCTTTTGTCAGTTTTCGGTAAATTCTTACTTTTCCTCATCAACGTTTGCACGGATACAAGTCTACTGCTACCTAGAAAAACAGGTACCGAAATTTGAAACTGTATGTGACTCCCCATGCTGCGTTGACAATTTAGTTGTCGATTTTCTGAGCATACACTGTGCAGGCTTATCAATCATATGTGTCCTTGGACCTGGAAAAATTATATTATGATCAAGGAGATGCAAATTTGTTCATACATAGGATGATAGTATGGATAGAAGAATTCTCACATTTATATTTATGAGTTTTTTGACATTGGATATCATTTAGCAACGAGCTTTCATTATTAATTTATAGCAAATTATGTAATGTCCTTAAACTTTAAGTTAAAGCAATTTGGCAGAAGAGACCATGTTCCTGTTTTTTGGGATATGCTTGAAAATACACAAACTGTACCATCTTTGCCACAAAATTATGTAACAATTCACGGATACCCTTTTTTTCCGCAGACCTCAGCAGAAACAACTGAGTGCAGCATGGCTTTACGGGCTTTGGCAGCAGTCTGGAACACGACCCTTCACAGCAAGATGACACTGCTACAGCCATCCAGGAGCCAAAACTTAAAAATGAAGTGCAGCTTCAGCAGCTTATTCCAACCTCTCAACGTGGTGGGACAGAAAATTCAATCAGGTTTTCTTCAGAGAAGCCTCCTGCCACCCCAGATGACACAGGTAGCTGGCTACAAGTATAAGGTGTACCCCAGGCTGAGGTGTCGATCGTGCTACTTTTTGAAGATCAAAGGGGTGCTCCATGTGCACTGTAAGACCCACCCGCGTCACAAGCAGATACAGCTACCAGAGCCAAGGAGAAAGCCCAACGGATTTGAGGACACATGGGGACACAAGACTCTCAACGTTTAATACTGGTAACATAGACATGTGAAGAGTTGCATAACTAATGATAGAAGCTAATTATAATGTTAAACCCTTGTCCTGCGGAGTGTACAGTACCATCCATATACTGATATAGAAACCTGTATAGGTACGATTTGGCACTGTTTCTCATGCAACGCATCACACTGCAGCGAAACGCAATGAATGCAGAAGTAACTATGCCACCGCAGGGCAAAAACTGTCAGGGGTCTATGACCTGATGAAGACATGAAATTATTGAAAAATATTGTATGTAAAAAATGCCAGCAGGACAAGGGTTAAGTGTTGCAGTTGGTGGCAAATTTATGACTGGAAACATAATCTCATCTTGAATAAAACACCCCATATCAAGTCTTGAGACTCACTGTGTTTATTTATCTTTAATTACCATTATATATGACCTCCTTCAGTCAATATTACTATTACAGAATCACTAATACAGATGTTATGTGTCTTGTTCTTTGTCAAGCAAAGTACTGTACATTGTATCTCAGGGCTCCAATCATGTCAATGATTAACACCTCTGGCTAAAGCAAATACACAAGACAGTGCAAGGACCTAATTGAAATATATAATTGAGATACATGCATTCTTTTAAAAACACAGATTTGGGCTAACAACACAAGGCCATTTGTCTAGAAGACCAGATCCATAGGTCCCCAGGGTGGTCTTTTACAAGTTTGACTGAACTTAGAAGGGACTGTCACATACACTAAAGCTGGTGTGTTACACCGAAAGGCAGTTATACCAGCTATACAGATACAGATGATGAAGCAAATCGTCAGAGTGAAAGCATGTATACATGTTGAGCAATGAGCTGGAAAAAAAATTGTACATGTAATAGCATATTTATTGAGTTATACTTGAAGTGTTCTCCACAACCTATTTATATCATACACAGCAAAAGTTATAATAATAATATAGTATGTAAGTGTCTACGTGTCATCTAATTCCTTAAATCAAATTTTAGTGACTGATTTTCACTACTTTGGTTTTATTTCTACCAGCACTACATATATACATGTACACTATTACTATCAAATGATCATTGCCAGAAAGCTACAGACAGGCTCCAACTGACCTTTGGTAATTATTAAGTTACACTGGCTCTCTAACACAGGCAAATACTAGTAACAGTCTTAGTACCAGTACATTATTTTGGGAAGTTGTCCCAAATGGGTTTACAAAGATGGCATGAGTTATTTCATTTTTTTTAATTCTTTTTTTTTTAATGAAAGCTGCTTTTCTTTTTCAAATACTTTACAGCCTAGACAAAAGTGTTGCTCAGCTTTCATGAAGTGTTCTAAGAGATAATACATGTATGACCAAACATGTACACTACATGGGTTAAACTGAGGAAAACTTTGGTAAGTCACACTGGCTCTAGTACATAGTGGCATATACATACACTACATGTAGTTACCCTTATCCAATACCAGTATATTATTTGGGGCAGTTGCTTCAAAAGTGCTTTCACAAGAATGACATGAGCGCTTTGTATTTTTTTCCCTTACATATGAAAGGTTCTTTTTTTTGCAAATACATGGATACAACCTACATGTAACACGGGATACTAGTAATCTGAAGATAACTTTGGTTAAGTCACACTGGCTTTATCACACATAGGCATACACTAGTAACACTTATTGGATAATCCGTTACCACTACATATTTTGGGTAGTTGTTTCATAAGTGTTTGCACACAAATGGCATGAGCTCATTTCATTTCTTTTCTACAAATGAAAGCTTTTTGCAACTACTTCACAGCCAAAACAGAAGTGTTCCATTAGATACTTTTAGCAAATGCCACAGCCTATGTGTAACACAAGTGAAACTGAAAAAAACTACTATCTGCCATGCCACAGTACAAAGTACTAGATACAGTAATAGTGCAGGTAATTTGTTCCTAAGAACAGTAAATACATGTACATGTATAACATGCCCTTGTACTGCCCTTAGATCTACCCGTTGTACAACAATAAAAGAAGAGGTTAAGTGAAAGATTGAAATGAAAATAAATGTGATACACATAATCCCTACTTGTTGTAATGCTTTTTCGATAATGAGTTTCATAAGTTCTGCTATTACAAGCCAACGGACCTCTTCTTCAAATTCAATAAAGTCAAAGCTGGCCAAATTAAAAAGGTAGTAAATAGACTAAAGTAATACTCCAGCATTAGTCCTACAGTTAACAATAGTGTAAAATATTACTGTATATGTTCTTCTAACATTTGTACATGTACAACAACTGATTTCCCTATACCTGAAACATTTGCAGACTATCAGTAATACAATTTCAACCGACGTTCTCGA